GCCAAATGAGTCAGTTAGCTAGTTTGATGGGACAACAACACCAACCAGGAAGGTTGCCTAGCCAAACTGTGGTGAATCCAAATACAGAGCAGATGAATGTTGTGACTTTAAGGAGTGGAAAAGAAGTTTTTGAGCAGTCGAGGATGCAAAAGAGGATTAGAAAAGATACAAATGAGCAAGGGGAGCTACAAACCAAAAATTTTGAGCAAAAGGAGTCTTCAACAGAAACTGAACAGTCTCCTAAAGCTACAGAATTGAAAAACAAAAATTCTGATAAGGTACGTACAGAAGTTCAAAATTCATTTAACTCATGTGTCCCTGTTCCTTTCCCTCGTAGGTTTATGAAGTCGAAGAAAGAGCAAACTGATAAGGAAATCTTGGATACTTTTCGGAAAGTCCAAGTGAACTTACCTCTTTTAGATGCCATAAAACAAGTGCCCAAGTATGCAAAGTTCCTTAAAGAGCTTTGTACGAACAAGAGGAGATTCAATGATCAAGAAACTGTGGCATTAAACGAGGAAGTATCAGCTATTTTGCAGAGGAAGCTGCCACCGAAATTGAAGGATGCCGGTAGCTTTACCATTCCATGTGTAGTCGGAGGGAAAGAGTTTGGGAGAGCATTGTGTGATTTGGGGGCATCTATCAATTTGATGCCATATTCAGTGTATGAATCATTGAACCTTGGAGAATTAAAGGAAACAAAAGTAGTAATCCAGTTGGCAGATCGTTCAAACAGATATCCCAAAGGCCTATTGGAGGATGTACTTGTGCAAGTGAATGAGCTCATTTTTCCCGCTGATTTTTTTGTTCTTGAGATGGAACATGACCCTATGCCTACTGCACTTCCTCTTATATTGGGAAGACCATTCCTTAGAACGGCACGTACAAAGATTGATGTCTACGATGGTACCTTAACCATGGAAATTGATGGAGAAAGTGTCAAGTTCAGAATCTTCGATGCAATGAGGTACCATAGTGATTTTGAATCTTGTTTTTCTATTGATGAGTTTGACTATTTTTGTGCAGGATTGTTTTAATAAAGGTGTGGGACAAGACAATTTAGAGAAGGTGTTAGTGCATAGCATTACACATGGAAAGCTTAATTATTCCGAGCACATTGAAGAAGAATTAATCCAAATAGTGGCAGCCCTTGAGTCTCTTCCACCAATTCGTGGTAAGTCTTCTTCCTATTTTATTTCTCTTCCTACTTCTAACGAAAAAACTCTTCCTTCTGTGATTCAGGCACCCAAATTGGAGCTTAAACCGATTCCTGAACATTTGAAGTATGCATTTTTGGGAGAGGATGAAACATTACCGGTCATCATATCGTCACGACTCACAGCAGAAGAAGGGGAGAAACTGATCCGGGTACTGAAGGATCATAAAATTGCCATAGCTTGGAGCATTGCCGATATCAAAGGTATAAGAACTCACAGCAGAAGAAGGGGAGAAACTGATCCGGGTACTGAAGGATCATAAGACTGCCATAGCTTGGAGCATTGCCGATATCAAAGGTATAAGTCCAGCTACTTGTATGCATAGAATTCTGTTAGAGGAAGGCGCAAAACCAACAAGGGAAGCTCAACGCCGTTTAAACCCACTCATGATGGAGGTCGTCAAGAAAGAGGTTATCAAACTTCTTGATGTTGGCATTATATATCCTATCTCAGACAGCAAGTGGGTGAGCCATATTCAAGTAGTTCCTAAGCGATCCGGAGTCACAGTTGTTCAGAATGAAGCTAATGAGCTAGTGCCTACACGTGTGCAAAATAGTTGGAGAGTCTGTATAGACTATCGGAAGATAAATAGTGTCACACGCAAAGATCACTTCCCAGTCCCATTCATTGATCAAATGTTAGAAAGGTTAGCTGGTCATACTCATTATTGCTTTCTTGATGGTTATTCTGGATATAATCAGATTGCAGTTGCTCCGGAGGATCAAGAAAAGATGACTTTCACATGTCCATTTGGCACATTTGCATATCGAAGGATGCCATTTGGACTTTGCAACGCTCCCGCCACATTTCAAAGGTGTATGGTAAGTATCTTTTCTGATATGATTGAGAAAATAATTGAAGTGTTCATGGATGATTTTTCTGTTTATGGTGATTCTTTTGATACATGTCTACATAATCTGTCCCTAGTTCTTAAACGTTGTCAAGAAACTAATCTGGTCTTAAATTGGGAAAAATGTCATTTCATGGTTTCACATGGATTAGTTCTAGGACATATCATATCTGAAAAGGGAATTGAAGTTGATAAATCTAAAGTAGAGCTTGTTAGTTCATTACCCCTCCCTACTACTGTCAGGGAGGTTCGTTCTTTTCTTGGACATGCAGCTTTCTACCGAAGGTTTATAAAGGACTTCTCAAGGATTTCTAGACCCTTGTGCAGTTTGCTTCAAAAAGATGCAACATTTGATATGAATGAAGAGTGTGTGGTAGCATTCAACAAGCTTAAGGAGTTGTTATCCACGGCTCCTGTGATCATGCCACCAGATTGGAGTTTACCATTCGAGTTGATGTGTGATGCTTCAGACTACGCCGTCGGTGCAGTTCTAGGACAGCGTGTCAACAAAGTGCCACATGTTATCTATTATGCATCTCGAACACTCAATGATGCACAATTGAATTATTCAACAACAGAGAAGGAGCTTTTAGCTGTTGTATTTGCTTTAGAAAAATTTAGATCTTATCTGATTGGGACTAAAATTATTGTGTTTTCTGACCATGCAGCTCTGAAATACCTGATGGAGGGAGTCACTTTTGCAATAGAACACTTGAAGCGTTGCTTAGAAAGTACAATGTCACACATAAGGTGTCTACACCTTATCATCCGCAAACAAGTGGTCAAGCAGAAGTATCAAACCGAGAGGTAAAGCAAATTTTGGAGAAAACTGTGAGTCCAAGTAGGAAGGATTGAGATGAACAATTGTTTTCCTTACAGGACACTGACCCTTGGTATGCAGATATTATCAATTTTGGAACACCTATTGATTTCGGATCGAGCCCAAAACTTGGGCAACATCATAATATGGTGGGAGGAGTCATTTGGTG